ATTTTCACATGCAGTCGATACGAACATTTAGGTCACCAAGTAGAATTAATGTCACTACGGAGTTGTTTTAAGGACTTTTCCCCTCACAGTGCTAGTTGAACCCATTCACTTACTGTGCTTTATGCTAAGCTAACGCTAAAGGAGTACTGCTGGGTCAGGAGAATGGACTGGTCACAAGTTCTACATGTTCTTGAAAAGAACATTTTAAGGTTTTGGAGAGCTTATGAGCAGTTATCATCAAGATAGAAAATCTGGCAGAAATGATGAGGTGAAACCTATTTGCAACGCGAGCTAGCTACACAGCTAAAACCTACAAAATATACCCCAGTGGGTGTTCACTGCTCACCTTTTTTGTTATTACTGCAACAAACTGCAATCATCCAATCCAACTAACAACCAAAATAAAAAATAAAATAAAAAACTGAAACAAAAGTGAATCAAGCAGCAGAATCTTGCAGTGGATTCTGGACTGTTTTTTTATTGGGAGCTACCATCATGTTGGGCTATGTTGCTCATCCTTAAAGTGGAGGTTCACATAAAAACATATAAAACTTGCCTCCAGAACATGAAAATAGTCTTCTACCAGTGTTAATTTTGACAGGAAATTAAAAATTTTTTTTAGTCTTAGTATTTTGGCTAAAAATTATTTTTAGTCTTAGTCCAATTTTAGTCATTAGATTTATTTTAGTTTTAGTCCCATTTTAGTCGATGAAAATAACAAGTAATTGTAGTCGATAAAAATAAGCAATTTTAGTCAACAAAATACATATATTTTTTCTAATGAAGTAATTTCCTACTTTTGAATGGAGCACGGAAAAACTAGTAGTGTAATTTAATACACAGGGTCCGAACTTAACCACCACTGATCAGATATAGCACACACAGCTAAGAACATAGAATATTTGAATTAAAAAAACACTTCACATGTTTAACTCTTACGTGTTTCAACCCAGAAGGTGTGAAATGATGACGTTAAAGACAATCATTTATAATTTTCTCAGAAATTCTGTCTTCCTGAGTTTGTTTTATTCAACACACCAAAAAGAAATGATTAAACATCAAAGGTAGTATAGTAGTAGTATGTAGTACAGTTGGGTACTCATGAGGTACCTACAGGTACTTAGAGAGGTTATGTAGAGCAAGCACCACCACCATAAGGAAACCATAGTTCATGCATAAACTGGTCATATTTTATGTTCCCACTTCCTGTGGGAACTTTGGGTTACATCATCTCTAATAATGATTTAACAGAAATCTGATGTAAACCTTTAATAACCACACAAACCGTTCTGAGCTGTTTTAACAGAACTGACCCGGTTCTGAGCAGCTCAGCATGTGAAGTGATCCGCTTTGTCCTGAGCTAACCGATTCCCTGATTTTAGAGTAGAATGAAAACCATTTTATTCTTTAGTAACTGTTAATTACATTATGTCACACATCTACAGCGTGTTCGCTTCTGGTTAATAAAACTGATACTATTGAAAAGCCAGTTTCATGTTTTACTTTTATCTGTACAGGCGGGTCAGCAGTAATGCTGCCAAAAGATCTGTGAAGCAACCGCAGCTCATCCAGAATGCTGCTGCTAGTCTCAGCAAGAACCCAGAGGACCGAACACATCACTCCTGTTTTTAGATCCTCACACTGGTTACCAGTAAACTACAGAATCCATTTCAAACCACTTCTACTAGTTTATAAATCACTCAATGGCATGGGGCCAGAATACACATTGGGTCTCCATCAGGTGTCTACGCCCAGCAGGGCTCTGAGGTCGTCAGGAAGTGGTCGGCTGGTAGAACCGGGTCAGAAACTAACAGGGTGAAGCTGCTTTTAGCTACTATGCTGCTCACAGATGGAATCGGCTTCCTTCGGCGACGGTGGCACAGGACTTAAATGCTCGCCTCGTAATCGGAAGGTTGCAGGTTCGAGCCTCGCTCAGTCTGTCGCTGCTGTTGTGTCCTTGGGCAAGACGCTTAACCCACCTCGCCTGCTGGTGGTGGTCAGAGAGACCGGTGGCGCCAGTGCTCGGCAGCCTCGCCTCTGTCAGCGCGCCCCAGGGCAGCTGTTGCTACATCATAGCTCATCCCCACCAGTGTGTGAATGTGTGTGTGAATGGGTGAATGACTGATTGTGTTGTAAAGTGCCTTGAGGGGTTCCAGGACTCTAGAAGGTGCTATATCAAATACAGGCCATTTCCTCATGACCTCAGATGTGCCCCTACTCTAGAAACTTTTACATCAACACTGAAAACGTTCATGTATTCATCAGCCTTTGAATGGAGGTTTCTTATGCTGCACCTTCTGCTCTGTAACTGCTCACCCTTCAGCTTCGCCTTTTTGATTCTTAAATTTGAAACTGTGTTTTAATTGTGCTGTCACACTGATTTTCACGCCCGCGCTGTTGGAAAGCACACTGAATCACCTCTGTGTGTGAAACGTGCTGCATGAACAGAGCTGCCGTGTAGTTAGTGGTCCTGATGTACTGTTTGGGTCAGAAGCTTTACTTTCATTCACCGAGGAATAAACACTCAGATGTTTGTCTTTTTACTTGTGTTGGTGTAATCGAGAAACGTGATTGGTAGCTAAGACTCGTGCTCTCATTGGTTCCACCCAAGTTCCTCCCACTGACGCTAGAATCGAGACAAAAAGATTCGTAACACTGTAAATTTGGTTTGTACCTGTAGAAGGAAATGTGTGTTTTGAGAGTTTTGATTTCAAACTTGTACCTTGATTTTTTCAATTTGGAAGTCTGCTAGTTACAAAACGAAAGTTTCATGTTTCTGAATGAATGTTTGATGTTACAAAATGAGTAGTAAATGTACAAAATAAAAGTTTGATTTTACAAAATAAAAAATACATGTACAAAATACAATGTTCCTGTTACAAAACAAGAAATACAAGTACAAATTGAGAATTACAAGTTAGAAAACTTAAGTTACAAGTTACGAATCCAAAGTTACATGTGATGAAACATGTTCGAAGTTACAAAACTTGGTACAAGTTACGCTGAATTTTGTCCCAATCCTAGTTCCATAGAAATGTTGCCGTTTCATTTCCAGCACAACCCAGCTGTCCATGTGCTGTGACTCAGGTGTCAGCTGCACACCTGGAACACACCTGGCAGCTCTAGAGCCACAGCACAAGAGAAAACAGGAGACTTGTGTAAAGGCCAACACGTGTGAGCCTCGTGCTGATGCACGATCCTCACAAGTTGGACCTCAGAGTTAAAAATGACACATCAGGCTTTGCAATAACGAGTTTTATTACCCAGAAGCGTGCTTACAGTACACAAATAAACACTTTCCTACAATTTGTGCTAAATTAAAACTTTTCCACTCTCTTATTAAAGTTGGTTAATGAAAGTGTGCATGAACAGCCATCATGCGTGTTTTTTACAGTGCATGCATAAGCCGTGACCCTCTCTCTGGTGTCGTTGGTCACTCGATGGAGGAGTAGAGGCTGTGGGGATCAGCAGGTGCAGCTTTCAGCGTGCTGTAGGTCACGGTGGAACCATCATATTCACCTTTAACCTGCAGCAAACAGAAGATCATGCGTGACCTCCACAGAAACCGTCAGGTCATTTCTAACCAGTAGATTAGCTCACCCTGGTGGGTTTCTGGGTGTAGCAGATGGAGGCGTAGGAAAGCCCCTCCTCAGCTTCAACCTGAACACAAACAGATTCTGCAACCAGCTGGTTTTACGTCTCAGGGTGTTTCAGCACTGACTTCCTATTTTTCAGCTCAGGCTTCCTTCTTTAGTCTGAAGCAACACCTGACTCGTCTTCTACAGAACTCTAAAGCGGGCTTCGTGTGAAGAAAGGATGTTGCATTTTTACCTTTTTTTGTCTGGTTTCTGCAGGAGGCGGAGCTGCAGGGTCAGAGCTCATGTTCTGGAGACACATTCAGTCAGATTAGGATTTATTCAGTTAAAGCAGAAGATTTTTCATAATGCGGTCAAATTGTTTTCATTTGTGATAAAAAAGTTTGCTTCAAAAGCCAATAAAAAATTATCCGGGCCTCATTTTTTCTCTGCTTTAGCAGCACACAATGGTCTGAAACAGAAAATTTCCAAACTCACGTAGTTGGAATTTTGCTGCATTTGCGTCCCTAAAATGAGAAAATGAACACAAAAATACACGCTGGTGACAGAAGCTTCTGCAGAAGGAAAACACAGATTTATTATACTGTGAATTATAATTAAAGTTTAATCCATCTATCCATCCATTTTCCTCCACTTATCTGGGGTTGAGTCGCAGGGCAAGCAGCCTAAGCAGAGAGGCCCAGACTTCCCTCTCCCCAGCCACTTGGACCAGCTCCTACGGGGAAATCCCAAGGCGTTCCCTGGCTAGATGAGACACATAGTCCCTCCAGCGTGTCCTGGGTCTTCCTTTAGGTGTCCTCCTGGTTGGACGTGCCCAGAAAACCTCACCAGGGAGGCGTCCAGGAGGCTTCCTGACCAAATGGCCGAGCCACCTCAACTGGCTTCTCTTGATGTGGAGGAGCAGCAGATCTACTCTGAGCCCCTCCCGGATGACCGAGCTTCTCACCTTATCTCTAAGCTTGTATCCGTGATCTCGTTCTTTCAGGCACTACCCAAAGCTCATGACCATAGGTGAGGGTAGGAACGTAGATTGACCGGTAAATCGAGATCTTCGCCTTCTGACTCAGACCGGTACAACGCCCGCATCACTGCAGACGCAGCACCAGAGGTGGAAAGTAACGAATTACATTTACTCACGTTACTGTAATTGAGTAGCTTTTTTGTATATTTATACTTTTTAAGTCGTTTTTTAAAAGCTGTACTTTTACTTTTACTTGAGTACGTTTTTTAAAAAGAATTGTAATTCGCTACATTTTAAATGATATCCGTTACTGAGTAAAAATAAATTCTAGGCTTAATAAATTACAAATATTACGTGTAGCAGCGTCGGAACGGAAAAAGACACCTGCATGAGCGCCGTGTCTAACCGGGGGGGGGGGGGGGGGGGGGGGGGGGAGAGATACACTTTTGCTCAAAGACATCGGTTCAGTCCCTCAACTCGCTGTTTACCTCCTCTCTCCCTTCTCTTCTGTGGGTTGGAACCGGCACCTTTGCGCACCGGTGTGACGTCATCAGAATTCTGCTCGGTTCGGTAGCCGGACTCGGTTCCGTGTTTGAAACGTGTTTCTCTACCGCTCCGCACGGCAGCGACAAAATAACTTTTAGCGCCCATAACAAGCGGATTCTCAGCACTTTGCTCATAAAACAGAAGACCTGAAGGCCTCTGTGAGATAAAACATCCTGATACTGTTCAGGTGTAAACACTGTGCTCCATCCCTGTGTTTGAACTCAGAAGATGCTTCTTGATGCCACAGATATGTGATGATTTAGCTTGTTTCTTTATTTTACTCCAGAATAAGAGATTAAATTATTACAAAAGCAGTTCAATGTAGTTAAATTAGTCATTTAAATGATTCTAACATGCTGCAGAGTGTGTGTGTGTGTGTGTGTGTGTGTGTGTGTGTGTGCGTGTGTGCGTGTGTGTGTGTGTGTGTGTGTGTGTGCATGCACACACGAGTGAATTGTGAACTGGCGTTGTGATTTAGCACTACTTAGATGTAGCCATCCTTACGCTGACAAAAATGTAACAAAGTCACTTTTACTTTGAGTACATTTTGTTAACGATACTTTTTACTTTTACTTGAGTAAACATTTAGGCAAGTACTTTTACTTGTACTTGAGTAAAAAATTATCAAAGTATTGGTACTCGTACTTAAGTAGGAAATTTTAGTACTCTTTTCACCTCTGCACAGCACCGATCCATTTTTCCCTCACTCGTGAACAAGACCCAGAGATACTTTAACTCCTCCACTTGAGGCAGAGCCTCATCCCTGACCCAGAGAAGGCACTATACCCTTTTCCGACTCAAGACCATGGTATCAGATTTAGAGGAGTTGATTCTCATTCCAGCTGCTGACGGGAACCACATTGCTCCTCCTGAATCCACGGCTGACAATCCGACAGACCCTCCTCTCCAGAACCCCTGAATAGACCTTACCAGGCAGGTGCAGGAGTGTGATCCCCCTCCAGTTAGAACACACCCTGGGGGTTCCTCTTTTTATACAGGGGGACCACCACCCCGGTCTGCCAATCCAGTGGGACTGCCCCTGATGTCCACGCAATATTGCAGAGCAGCCCAGAAGTTTCCTGACCATCTCAGTTACCTGAGCTCCACAGTCCCACACTTCACTTCCTCTCTGGGAGACGTGGAGGATGAAAAAGTTTAGTCCCTCACCTTTTCTTCTCCTGACGAACGCTACAGCAGTAATTATCAGTGCCAGCAGGACCGGAGCCACAAAGATGTACAACCACAATAAATCTGCCAAGATATCAACATCATGGATGTGAATATAGGCTGTGTGTAATTAAATAAATAATAAACTTTTAATTAATAAAATCCTGAGAGTAAAACACTAAAATGATTTTCTACCTCGGTCTGCAGCTCCGCTTTCACCTGCAGAGTCCGTCTTGTCGGTTTTCCCTCCTGATGCAACCACTGATGTTGTTGTTGGAGGAGAAAAATAAATCATAAGTTGTTTTTTTACCATCAGTGAAACATTTGACTTCTAGATCTCTGAAACCAGGTTGTTGTGGTTTCTCACCTGTTGGACCAGAGCTGAAGGTAAAAAGCTGCTGTTTGTTTTCTGTCTCTACTTCGCATTTGAATAACTTAAACCTTGATGAGTAAACATAGTTGGAGGTCTGAAAGGTCACAGCAGCAGAGCAGGAAGATGGAGACGATGTCTTTATATCAGGATGATCTTTCTCCACATCGTTACCCTTAAGCAACCACTTCACTTCATGTCTGCATTCATCGAACAGCGACACAGAGCAGGTGAACGTCACCTTGTTCTGCTCTGTTTGTTCTCTCACTGAGGACAGATGGAGAGAGAAAGTAAACATGATTATATTTATATTTGTGATCATTTTGTTGTGATAAATGTGTGTGAACACTCACGGGTAACAACAAAGAGGTAAACAGGAGCATCAGGAAGTAATAGATCACCTCCTTCTCTGCTATACTGTCTGCAGAAGTATAAACCAGCATCCTCAGCTGAGATGCTCCTCAGAACTAGAGAACAGTTTCCTGCTAGACTCAGTGGGTCTGATCTGCTGTATCTAACCTGGCCGTGAGCAACCAGCTCTCGTGCTGCTCTTCCTGGTTTACTGTAGATCCAGGTGGTGGTGTCACAGTTTCTGCGACCTTTAATCGCATTTTCACAAGACAAAGCAATGTCATCTCCAGCTCTGATGGTGTAGAGAAGATCTCCACTAACAACTCCTGAGAGAATCAGAGACATTTGGATCTTCCTTCAGAAAATTGATAAAAATGTTTATTTCCTAACCCAACATCATGTTTGCAGCCAGTGGAAGAACAGCCACCATCTCCATGAACACTAATCATCTCTAACACCTGAACTCCTCACCTGGAAGCTGCAGCAGCATCGTGAGGAGCAGAAACATCTGAATCCATCCAGGTTTCTCCATGGCTCCTCTCTGCTCCGTCGTCTCTCTTCACTTCCTGTTTAACTCTGAAACGCATCAGATTTTCTCCAGCAGCTGAATCTACATCCTATAACTTGCTTCTCGTCGCTGGCGTTCATGTGAAACGGACACATTGAGACATGGTTACGATTCAATCTTTGGTTCCTTTTAGTAAAAAACAAAAAGCACACTGGGAATTACAAAGGTGCTCTTTTTTTTAGCAATTGCACAACAAGCATTTTTCAAACTAGCATGCAGAAATACTCAAAAATAAAAATTCCTCCTTTGAGGGCATGCATTTTTTCAGAAACTTTTCACAATACAATGGCTAACACCCCAAAATAAGTACAGTACAGGACCTGTAAGCAGTTAGTTACGGGTCTCTTTTTGGTATTTAACACATACAAAAGGCGCACCGGGTTATAAAACGTACCGGTAAAACATCTGTGTGGGCTCGGGACTTGGAACATATCAGTGCAAACCAGACATTGTGAAAATTATAAACAGCCAAAAGCATGCTTCACTTTACTGGTCTAGTCCTGGTTTAGAGCGCAGGTGCACTTCCTCATTGCGCAAAAACGAGCAGCGTGTGTGCACAGACTTATGCCTTAGTAAACAGCCATTTACAGTATTGATGCATAAAATGTAAATAGTAGGAACTTAAGTAATCAATTGTACATAACTTTTCACTTTATTTTATCATTATAGTTTGAAGAATGCCGTAACTGTAGAAACCAGTGCAGATTATTATACATGTGCAACACTGTTAAACCATTTTTCAGTAAGATAATTGTAATTTTTCCATGTGTTTATTGAAAAGAAAAAAGCTGACTAATCACAGAAATAATGATTAGTTGATTAGAAACAAGTGCTCATCTAGAACATTTGAAATTTGTGTTACAGCAGTTCATGTTTTCAACTTAAACATCAAAATATTACAGAAAGTTAGCAAATCGGTAGCAAGTATGCAGGTGCTTCAGTATTGTAGTGGGCATAATCATCAACAGACACGCTTGTTTTATAAGAGGTTGAAAGTAATTTGTTTTAACCAGCGTTTCAGGATCATGAGGACATTTTCAGAGTCATGTCTTGGTGAAGCAGCAATGAAAAACGTTTTTCTTGAAATATTTATGTAAATAAAAACATTCAAGAGCATATTTTAGCCAAGAAAGCTCATTAGCAAATACTAGTTTAAGGCTTCTATAGACACCAGAGGTTCGGGGAGCCGTCAGGCTGAAGAAGGAGGCCTACAGGGTGTGGCTGGTCTGTGGGTCTCCGGAGGCAGCAGACAGGTACCGGATAGCCAAGCGGGGTGCAGCAGTGGCAGTTGCCGAGGCAAAATCTCGGGCGTGGGAGGAGTTTGGTGAGGCCATGGAGAAAGACTATCGATCGGCTCCAAAGAGGTTCTGGCAAACTGTCCGGCGCCTCAGGAGAGGAAGGCAGCAACTCGCTCACACTGTTTACAGTGGGGATGGGGAGCTGCTGACGTCAACTGAGGCTATAGTCAGACGGTGGAAGGAATACTTTGAGGAGCTCCTCAATCCCACCAATGCGCATTCCGAGGAGGAACCAGAGCTGGGAGGCCTGGGGATGGACTGTCCGATCTCAGGGGTAGAAGTTGCTGAGGTAGTCAAACAACTACACAGCGGCGGAGCCCCGGGGGCGGATGAGGTTCGTCCTGGGTATCTCAAGGCTATGGATGTTGTAGGGCTGTCGTGGTTGACACGTCTCTACAACATTGCGTGGTCATCGGGGGCAGTTCCTAGGGAGTGGCAGACCGGGGTGGTGGTCCCCATCTTTAAGAAGGGTGACCTGAGGGTGTGTTCCAACTATAGGGGGATCACACTCCTCAGCCTCCCTGGAAAGGTCTACGCCAAGGTACTGGAGAGGAGGGTCCGATCGATAGTTGAATCTCAGATAGAGGAGGAGCAATGTGGTTTTTGTCCTGGCCGTGGAACTTTAGACCAGCTCTATACCCTTGCAAGGGTGATGGAGGGGGCATGGGAGTTTGCCCAACCAATCCACATGTGCTTTGTGGATTTGGAGAAGGCTTATGACCGTGTCCCCAGGGGCACCCTGTGGGGGACGCTCCAGGAGTATGGGGTGGGTGGCTTTCTGTTAAGGGCCATTCAGTCCCTTTACCAGAGGAGCGTGAGTTTGGTCCGCATAGCCGGTAGTAAGTCGGACCTGTTCCCAGTGAGGGTTGGACTCCGCCAGGGCTGCCCTCTGTCACCGGTTCTGTTCATCACTTTTATGGACAGAATTTCTAGACGCAGCCGTGGTGTGGAGTGTGTCGAGTTTGGTGGCAGGAGAATCTTGTCTCTGCTTTTTGCGGATGATGTGGTCCTCCTAGCTTCATCCAGCTCTGACCTTCAGCTCTTGCTGGGTAGGTTCGCGGCCGAATGTGAAGCGGCTGGGATGAGGATCAGCACCTCCAAATCTGAGACCATGGTTCTCGACCGGAAAAGGGTGGCTTGCCACCTCCGGGTCGGGGGAGAGGTCCTACCTCAAGTGGAGGAGTTTAAGTATCTCGGGGTCTTGTTCACGAGTGAGGGTAGGAGGGATCGGGAGATCGACAGGCGGATTGGTTCGGCGTCTGCAGTGATGCGGACGCTGAGCCGATCTGTCGTGGGGAAGAGGGAGCTGAGCCAGAAAGCCAGGCTCTCGATTTACCGGTCGATCTACGTCCCAATCCTCACCTATGGTCATGAGCTTTGGGTAATGACCGAAAGAACGAGATCGCGGATACAAGCGGCCGAAATGAGTTTCCTCCGTAGGGTGGCCGGGCTCAGCCTTAGAGATAGGGTGTGGAGCTCGGACATTCGGGAGGCACTCGGAGTAGAACCGCTGCTCCTCCGGTTCGAAAGGAGCCAGTTGAGGTGGTTTGGGCATCTGGTCAGGATGCCTCCTGGATGCCTCCCCGGGGAGGTGTTTCGGGCATGTCCTGCCGGCAGAAGGCCCCCGGGTCGACCCAGGACACGTTGGAGAGGTTACATCTCCAATCTGGTCCGGGAACGCCTTGGGGTCCTGCCGGAGGAGCTGGTGGACAAGGCCGGGGAGAGGACGGCCTGGAGCTCCCTAATTGGGATGCTGCCCCCGCGACCCGGACCCGGATAAGCGGAGGAAGACGATGACGAAGACGAAGGCTTCTATAGGAGAACAACAAGCAGACATGTTTCAAACTTTTATTAAAGTGCTCTGATCCTGGATCTGGGAAGGTTCTGGAGTGGCTGGTCTGAGGATCTGGAGAGTGATGATGGAGAAGCAAGACAGAACATCTTCAGAAGCTCCTGTAAGACAAGTATAACATTAGTAAAAAAAATAACAACAACAAAAAAACAAATAAAGAAAACAATAGTAAATACTGAAAGTGGATGAACTTAAGAAGAATGGAGTTTTGGACAGAAAGAGCACTGATGTTCCAGCTGGACTCACGAGCCACGAAATGAGGTCAGACTGATACGGGGCAGCCACTTTTAAGTAATCATCAGGTCTGACCGAAACAGCGTTTCTGCCTTTTACAGGT